TTTATACTACAGGAATGGCTTTGCGACCGTTCGGAGATAAATAACAAATAAACGCCGCTACCCACAGGATTGCTCAGCACTTTCCTCCGCTATACCATATACCATACGACTCTCTTGCGCTCCCACTTGCTCTTTCCAGCCCCTATAGGTCGCCTCGATGCTTCGCCACCTGACCCAAGTGGTCCCATCACTCCGTGCGACACGCCGGTCACGTGTTAATTACCTCCGGCCGTTTGCTGACTGATGCTGACCTTATGGTGACTCGTATGCGTCCGCACCTTCGGTATCTTGACGGAAACGAGGGGGAGTGAGTGCTGGAGGGTGGGCATGAGGAAGACGCCCCTCGATAGAAGTGTCCGCGGGTCCCGGAGCTAATGCAGCTAGAAGTCGCATTGGTTAAGTCACTCCGGAGCTTCGGTGCGCGGAGCTAAATCGCTGAATGGGTCCGAGTACGCCTCGAGGATGTTGGGAAGTCCGGAGCTAAATAGAAAAAGTCTTTTAGAGCCCATAGAAGCCTAGAGGCGTGCGAGCGCTGTGTCGAATAAGCTCCGGGGCACTTGTATGATGTGCTGAATCCGCGTTTTCGGGGGTCAGACGATCCTGAGGCTTATCAGCGTGTGCATGCGCCGACGACCCCAGTGGGTCTTGCACTCAATGCTTCCTTGGATAGCACTTACTATACAATCTGTAATTATGTTCTCACAAACAAAATGAGCTGCTGCAGATGATTTTTTCATCCCCTGCTGTAGTATGTGCGCAACCGAAGGGCCAGGCGTGTTCAGCCCAGGACCCAGGAGGTAGCTTTACTGCGCCCCCGTGCAAACACGTACAAATATACCATATCCAGAAGAATATCACGTGATGCCGGGAAACGCGGGCTTCCCGCCGCGCGCGTGTCCGGCCAGTTAGAGTATCTTCAAGTCTGGACTAAGAGGGTCATATAGATGGGGCAAAATAAATTTTTATTGAAATTTATACAGCTGTGATACATGTGGCTGACAAGGTAGATATAAAAGCCAACAGTAAGGAAAGTTAATAAACCCTAACCCTAAAAGCACAAATCAAAAATGTGCACAGTAGGAATTGAACTCTAGACATCCAGCGCTGAATGCATGCCGCAGAACCACTACACTAAAGAAGCGATGCATATTTTACACATTAAAAAGATATGATGGCAATGTAATTGGCGTTTACCTAATACGGCTGGGTCCAGTTATTTTTAGTGACGCGGCCGGAGGGGTCGGAGGTCACATGATATTCTTCTCGAAAAGATAATATTTGGTCATGTTTACGCGGGGGCGCAATAGCAAAGACGGGACCCAGGAGGACCCCCGATAATTGGTATAAATGCCTGATCAGGTTCCGGACAAATTTTGGGACTTTAGAGCCCTCAATGGCTGATTTTTTACAGACAAATCGGCCGATTCTGGAGAACAGGCCTGATTTTTTTCCGGACATTTTGGTCAGACTTGGCCATTTTGACGCCATATTTACCCCGGCACCTGCCGGGGAAGCTAAATTTAGACGTACCCACGCCACAGTTGCTCTTCAGAGCCACTTTTTCGCTGTGATGCCTGTTTTCTTCCGGACAAAAGGTCCAAAATCGGCGATTTTCTTCCGGACAAAATGAGTCTACTTATGGGTCCTCGGGATCAGGCATTTATACTGATTATCGGGGGTCCTGACCCAGGTGCTCCCGATAGGGAATGCCGTCTGGAGATTGCCGCAGCCGGTGTGACAGTTCCGTTACTGATTGTCAAACTCTCCCCCCAGTGTAAGCGAAATCGTGCCGAAACCAGTATTTTGCTGCCGGAATAGTCTGTACACAGGATATCTGTAAGGACGTTTTGATATTATGATAGAACGCGCAATTTCGCATCGACTCGTCAAAACAGCGCCCGAATATGTTTGAATTTGAAGGAGATACGAGCTTAACAATGAAATATTGTCAAACTCCCCCCCAATGATAGTAGGCTACGAATACGTAGGAAACTCCGCACGTGTGAAATGCTCGCCGAGGGCAATTGGAAGAATAAAACCGCGGAGAACACCTACGCTCGTAAGTGTATGAACAAGTAACACAAGACCCGCCAGTAGAGTCATGCACATATACGAACAAGGACAGTCCCGAACTAAACGATAAACTGGTACAGTAGTAGAGCGAGCGCTGTGGCAGTGGCAGTGGGACTTGAAACATGACTAGTGCTGCTCAATTCTTATTTCGTTCGTCCGTTCGTCTGTTCGTTCGATTGAGCGCGTCCAAAAGCAATGATGGCCGGCGATCCGGGACCACGGTCATGTGATGTGCTCACCGGTCGCGGCAAGGCATCGAGAATTTCCGTGGCTAGTTATGTGGACGAAATCCGTCGACGTAGATTACATGCCTCATTATTCTCCTCATAGCAATTCTGAGATGTATGGACCGGTTGCCCTGGCTGAGTATTGACCCAATTGGGGCTCTTATCATGCTTGTGCATATATCTCGAAAAAGCCTCAGGAAATAAATATGCCGGCCACCAACGGAGAACACATCACATGACCGTGGTCCCGGATCGCCGGCCATCATTGCTTCCTCACTCCTCAATCGAACGAACAGACGAACGGACGAACGAAATAAGAATTGAGCAGCACTCTAATAGGCATGCTCAATTCTACAATTCGGCCGTTCGCTCGAGCAATCGTTCGCGCTTTCGTTCGCGCCAGGAATAGCTCAAGAAGTGATGCGGGAGATGGCCGAAGGGAGCCGAGCGTCTGCTCCCTCGAGCGGCTCGAACTTCAAAGTTTTGCAACGTCTCCTATTCACTGGCAATAAGCTCATTACATGGTGGTGACATAGTAACAGAACAGACGTTTAGTGCCTGTCATCGTTACTTTAAGATTATTCGGCCATCTCCCGCATCACTTCTTGAGCTA